GGGCAAGGACTCAAGGGTGTCAAAGCCAGTTTCACAATCTCTTAGCTGCATAAGTGGTTTTGCAATTACAAATCCCTGGAAAACAGACACACTCTTTCATCTTGCTATGATCTCACCACCCCCTTGCCCTGGGGCGTATTTTCACTTACTTTAAACATCCTGGGGAGCTTTGCTTAGTGACCCCATTTGAAACAGAGGACAGACAATGAGCATCACTGAGAGATTAAGCAGCAGTTCAGGGTCACGCAGCAAGTAGTGTGTAGTATTGGCACTCAAACCTTGACCTTCCATGTGCACCAGTTATCTTAGTCCATTTGCATTGCTGTCATCAGAAACTTTGGACTTGATGGACTCTCATAAACAATAGCAATTATTGCTCATAGTTTCAGAAGCTGGGAAGTCCCAGTTCAAGGAGTCAGCAGATTTCTTGTCTGGTGAGGGCTTGCTCTGCTTCACAGATGGCACCTCTGTGTGTCCTAACATGGCAAAAGGGACAAACACAGGCTCCCTCAAGCCCCTTTTATATCGTCACTAATGTCATTCAATCACCCCCTAAAAGTTCCACCTCTTAATACTGTTGCTCTGGTGATTAGGTTTCAACATACGAATTTTGGGGACACAAAGATTCAACCTGGCACCAGTCACACATGGCCCTGTGTGCACGGGGCCGAGATTCGAGGCTACAGAAGAAACAACACGAGCGTGGTGCCTCGGATTTCTCCATCTGCATCTAGTGCTGAGCACGGCTGTCAGGGAGGCTTCTACAGTCTCGTGTTAGGGGTCCGGGGCATGCATAGTAGCCGAGGCATGTGGGAACAGGTAACAGGGGCTGCCTCGGTGGGGCCCTGTGGATGGAGGGAGGACGACAAGGCAGAGGAGCACCCTGCTGAAGGGCACATGCCACAGCCCAGGGAGGCACTGGGGGTGGGGTGAGGTGGTGAGAATACTAGACCCGGGCAGGAGTAAGGCAACCAGGGAGATGACTGCTCACTGCGTCTGCACTTCCCTGCGGCTCCAGGCTTCACCAGGGGTTGCAGGTCCACAGTCGCACGGGACTCGGCACCAAAGCAGGAGGTCAGAGGCCCTGGGGTGAGTGGGCAGGCAGGGCCCCTTATGGGCCTCTGTGGCACCCAGTTGGCCTCTGCTTGGGCAGCAGGAACCCTGAGGATGCCCTCCCTGCCCATGTGGCAAAGGCCAGTGTTGCTCCGCCTCCTGTGCCGTTTGGATCCCCGTGCTTCTGGGGATGAGAAAGTGAAACCCTTTCTACTTCTGGAAATCAGTCATTTCCAGGAAAGAAATGGGAGTGTGCCCCATCAAACCCTCCCCCTGCGCTGTGGGTGTGGTGGGAGGGGAGGACTTCGGTACAAAAACAGGGCAGCGGTGAGAGCTGACCCACCCACCAGCCAGGGCCAGGAAGGTAGTAGCTCCTGACTCTCAGCCTGCCGCTTTCCAGCTCCTCGTATCCAGGTATTTCTCTGCTCTTTCTACAACTTCCTTCCCTCAAGTCATCCTTTCTGAGCCACCTGGGGCTGGAATGAAGGTTTGGATAATCCTAGAGGGAACTGCTTCTGTCTGGAAGGGCTGGGGCCACTTCCCTAGGGAAGGGCAAAGTAGCAGGAGTTCCCTTGACTTCTGATCGTAGACATTCTACTTTCAAGTAAGAGGGCTGGTCAGAGGGCAGCTTGGCTGAAAACTAGGCTACTATGAAGACAGTAGGAGGTGAATTCCCGACAGGCAGCACATGAAAGCTCTGGGCCTGTGAAAGCTTTGCTTCATTTCAGGGAAGAATTCACAGCAGGTCTCCCTTCTGACATCTATCCGGTTCTGAGTACAACAGTCTACAATCCCTCTGCAGCTCCAAACCCTACCCACGCGCAAGTGTGGGAGGCCGTGCTTCCCTCATGCAGATCCCCTTTTATTAGGAGTTTTCTGATAGGGATGAATTTGAACATTGAAGATGGGATATGCCAGGCTATATTCCTCAGAGACTAATTTGGAATCTCTTGACATTCACTGCGTAGACAGCTTCCTGAGATCAGGATTGGCTGCAGGCAATGTCTGGGATGACCTGGAATTGCCCATCAGTCAGTTGGCCAGGCTAGATCACCCAAGGAATACGGAGATGATTCTGGGAGCTTACAAGTTAGGTGCCTAACTGACCTTTTAATTCCTCTAAATAAAATGTTTATCTGCAGTGGAGAGTCCCGTTCTTATGACAGTGCACTAAACCTTTCCTTTGTAGATGACTTTAATGAGTGTGTGTTCTTGTGTGTGTGTGTGTGTGTGTGTGTGTGTGTGTGTGTGTGTTGGGCTAAGGGAAGAGGATGGCAGTTCCAATCATATTCAGAAAAGGCCCTGTCCAGCACGTACACTGTTGACCTGTGGAAATGTGTTGTGCTATTCTGGAATAGATCATACTGATTTTTCCCTCAGCCTTTTCTGAGAATGATCAAACAGGAAAAAAGCTTGGGATTTGGTCCACATTTGTTGTGGGCTCATGGACTTCTCTGATGTCCCAGACTCTATGTCAGTGCTAAAGCCAGGTTCTACTTCACTGTAAATACCCTTGTCTGAGGATCAGGTTAATGGGGCATGGAATGAAGTATAACTTTGCACGAGAATCCACTCATCTATATTCTTCATTCTGTGTGCCTTTGCTCATGAAATTAATTTAGTGGGTTATGACCAGCATTAAAAAGACAAACAGAGGAAAGAAACAACTTCCAAAGAATGGAATAGAATTGAATAGAATGAGATATCAGAGTCAGATTCATTTAAGACAATTTGATTTGTAATGCCTTTGATGGGTCAGTGCTCATGTGTACTTGGTTCTTTGTGAAATGTATCTCTTACTGGAAATCTTACTCAGTCAGTTCAGCAAGAAGATCTTTCCAGAGGCTGGTTCTCCTTTTGTTGGCATGGTTGTCACGGTCTAGTTGTACCTGGTCTCTGGGCTCCCTTTATAAAGATCTCCTCTTGTTCTCCAAGGACTCCTCAGCCCCTGTCTGGAGAAGGGTATGCAGTGATATAATCAGGGCAGGATACTCAAAGAGCAGAGCTTGGGGGCAATTGCACCAACGGTGACTTTGATAACCTCTCCTAAACTTCCAGGTCGGTGCTCCTGGATGCTCGTGCACACAATCACACAGGCACACTGACGCCTCCTGGAAGATAATCCAGCCCCATGCAGAGCAAACCATGCCCTTCCTGGCCTGGCAGTGACACATGGGCCCGGGTGCCCATAGCCACAGAAGGGTCCTGGGGCCCGGGTGTGTGTCTCAGGCAGGTCCAGGGTGCAGCTGGTGAACCAGCACTCTGGGCACAGGACAAATGGATCATAGGAGCAAGGACTGGGGCAAGACAGTGGGAGCTGCGCTGCAGGGTCTGCAGCTCCCTTCCGTGTGGCTCAGCACTGGTGACAGGTGGGCAGACAGGTTTGGAGATGCTGACTTGGTTCACAGTCATGGTCAGAGAGAACGTCTGGAAAAGTATGGAGGTTTTGTGCTGAACTCCCACACAGACCGTGGACAGTCAACACCCTGCAGAGCTTGCTTCAGAGTGGGGTGCACACGAGTAGGCTCCAGGCTCGGCTGGTAGACAGAGTACAGAAAGGGAAGTTAGTTTATCTGTCATCTAGTAAGTTAACAACATACACAAAGTGTATGGTATTTCATTACTCAAACGAAAATACATTAAATATCTTCTTGGTGGTAGGAATATACTTGTAAATAATCTAGTGGAAATATTTTATGGTAAGTGCCAAGATTTGCGTATGCATAATATGATACCAAGCATTTAATACCAGATGAAGCAGTACTTTCTGGGAGAATTTGGGTGAGAAAAATGGCCCAGCCAAGGGCCCCAGCCCCGTCTTCCCCGCACATGTGCTCCTGCTGTGCTCCCCTGTGCAGCTGTCGGATATCATGTTGTGGGGAAGGGGAGCCCTGATTCCTCACCTAAACCACCCCACCAGATATCCACGCAGAGACACGAGGTCTGAGAGACAGACGTCCATACAGCATTCTCCTGCCAGGCTGCGGGGGGATTCCACTCCAACCTGGCAACTGCCCTACTCCCTCCCCCAGCTTCCGCAGGTTACCTCTTCCCCTTTGTGGACCGGCTGAGAGCGACTGTAGTCTGACTAGTATTTGATGAGAAGAAACTAGTTACCACTGTAAACCCAGATAATTATTCTTCCAAATGAGTTACTTCCTTTAGCAACAGATGAAATCAATGATCATTTGGTGGCCTCACCATACGGTTGGTCACAAATTCTTCCCAAGACAAGTCAAGCACCAAGACATTGAAGACGTACAAAAGGGGCTCTCTGGCCCCGCTGGTAGGTCCTTTCCTCATATCCCATAGGTGGGCAGCGGGAGCCAGTTCTCTATCTCCTGGGTCCTCTAATAGGGCCCAGTACTGGCTGTTGTCCTGGACACTCAAGGCTAATTCTGTGCGTGCATGAGCGTGTGAGCATGTGCCATTCGGGAGCGTGTGTGTATATTCTGCACACCCAGCATGAGGGAGCATGTGTGTATATTCTGCACTCCCAGCATGAGGGAGCGTGTGTGTAGGGGAGTGAATGTGTGTTAGCCTAAGTGAGTGTATATCTGTGTGCACAGTGTGTGTGGGAGCATGTATGCCACATGTGAGTTGTGTCAATAGGTGTCACTGTTAATGAATATGTGTGATTGTATGTAGCAAGGAGGAATGAGTGTGTATATTCAGTGGTGTTTACATGTGGCAACTCAGATATGTTAGGGTGTG